CAAGGCTGCTCACTCGAGTCTCCATGGCAATGGCCAAGCAGAGAAGAAAACCGGGGAGGCTTGTGAGGACTCATGTGGAGATCTCCATTGATCTGGATGAGACTGGAGCTGAAGAGGATGATTCACTCACTCGGCTAAGAAAACAAGAGGGGTGAGCGGACATGAGAGGGGCTCAGAGGCCTGAGCTTTTTAAAGACGCCCATAACTTGTCGAATTCACACTCGGAATCGCTCTGGTAGCAAAGACCTGACACTGAGAGAGCAAATCAAACTGAAGGGCCATTTGTTAACACGCCATTTATCATAGAGCTCTCTTGTCAGCCATTTTCTGCTCATAGGTTTATGTGTGTAAGAACAGAGAAGTCTCCATGGCAGCTGATGCTGAAATGCACACGGCGTGCTCCTGACAACTGCGGCTCAAAGCCAGCTTTTCACTCCTAACCCTGATTAAACCTAAATACGGGAAAAAAATGTGTTATTTTTTTATTTGATTTCTTGTTTTTGTGCTCTTTTCTGTCCAACATGCCCAGTGGATGACAGTGAGAGGACCCAAACGCAGGTCAGTAGACAATAAGACAACCGGAAATAATGTTGCTAAAGTTTATTTCATGATAACAAGGAGCGGCAAGCCATAAAAACCAAACAGTACCTGGGAAATCCTTAACATGGTACAGAGGCGAGACTCCAGGTGAAACAAACACAAGAGTGAAGAAAGCCAGAGAGCCGACCTACAGAGGAGGGTGATTAGTTCACGAAGAGCAGACGAGACGCAGGGAGCTGATGACCAGCCTAATCACAAACTAATCACAAGATCAAATCAGGCTTTGAAAAAAAAAAACAGGAAGCACTGGGAATAAGTACCCCTCAGAGGCGTGTCATCCACGGCAGTGTTTGGTCCACTGTCCCACAGCTGGTCCAATCAGGGTTCACAGGAGGCAGGTGGAAGGCTCCAAGCAGCCAATCCTCAGTGTGTGCTGACAGCCACTTCTTAAACACGGCTTATCTTTCTACTTTGAGTCTGGAGGTTGCAAAGCATGTGTCGTTTGGGGGAAAATGTGTCACCGAGAATGATGTGGGAATTTGAGAAGTTTCCAAAATGGGAAATCAAGAGAAGCCAGTTTGAGAAACACTGTGAACGAAAGGATAAAATGTCAAGAAAGGATGGATCTCTACCATCCAGACTGATGGAGAGAGGCAGAATGTGCTCTGATCAGATCACGCTTCGACTAGCTTCTTCATTTCATTTTACTGTTCTACGATGTTCCTGACATGGAGGCATGAGGACGGAAGGGATGTGGACGGAGCCTGCATGTATTTTTTTTTAGTCCCAACCCCTCTGCGTTTGAAACAGATGTGTTGGAAATATTCCGACTCAGATAAATCGAGCTGCTTTGTGAGATGTCCCGGCAGTTTTTCGTTCTCTCTCTCTCCTTCTCTCTCTCTCTGTCTCTCTTTCTCTCTCTCTCCATCTCTCGCTCTTGCTTTCAGGTAGAAACTCTGTTGCCATGGTTATTTCATTTGGAGGGCCTGCTGGCAGAGAGGCAGATTCATCATATTTACATTCCTCATCATGTACGGCCGACAGCTGTGGCGGCATGTTTACCCCTCCCACGGTGAATTACGGCCCACGCATCCACAGAGGGATGGAGGACCCACACATTAGTCTGATTAGTGCCGGAGATGTCTCCACCTTCTGCCCACTTCAGTCTCAGGGGTTTACAGTAAAAGTGACACAGTTGAACCGGTTCAACAGCTAATTTTACATCCATTCAGCTGTCACACGGGACATGTGATTAATCATCTGAGCCATCATCGATCTGACTGCAGGACGTTTCACTGGGAATGGATTTTTAAATTGAAAATAAAGTGGATTTGGGGTCTTTCAGGCTCCAACAATGGAGAACGGTTGATCTGCAGATGGTCCCTTTAGAGCCGGCCCAAAGCAAAATCTGATTTAGGGGCCCTCTATTTCTCCCAAGTATTACTAATTATGGATCGCTCAAATTCTTACGATAAGCTGCAGTGAAGTGGTTGGAGGGTGATGTTGTTCCTCCATGTGTCAGGTAAAACCTCTTTTCGTTCCACCCGCTTTTTTTTCTGCCCCAATTACCCCCGAGATTCCAGCAGCTCTCCACACCCCCTTGCACTGAAATGGGCTGGTTGCTACGGCAACCCCATACAGCTGCACATTATTCCTCTTTCAGCCTTCAAGAGGATCAATTAGCGATGATGCTAACCCATCAAGAGAAAGGCATAAATCCCAGATCGGGGTAGCTAGCAGAGTGTGTCTATTTGCCTGTTTTTTCCCCGTTTGTTTTAATTACGTTTGTGTGTGATTTTTGTCACACAGACACACACAAAAGTAAATGATCAAACTAGCAGTTCTTCCCCCCCTCTGCGGCTCAGGCTGGAGGATGAAGGCAGACTTGAGGGTGCTTGAGTCACCACGTTCAGTGTGTGGGAGTGCTTCATGGAGGAAGGGTTGTTAAACGCGAAGCAATCTTTCAGCTCGAAAACCAGACAAAATACACATTTTTGGAGCTAGAGGAGACTAACGAAGTCCAGAGCAACGGGGGGCATTTCTCTGAAAAGAAAAGAGCAGAACATTAAACGCCAAACCCAGTCTGCTCTGCCTTTTCTGTTAAAGTGCAAGTTGATGCAATCATCCGCTTTCTCCCCTAACCTTCTGACAGAAGAGGAGTCCTGGAGAAAAGGAGGCTCTCTTCTTCTTTCAACTCTCCTGCAGATAGGCAGAATTCTGCATTGGCTGCACGGGCAGGCAGGTGATATACAAATATATATATGGATATATTTTTAGACGTTCCACTGAACGCTTTCTCTTCCACCCCCACTATCAGCTGCTTGTAGTAAGAGAGCTGGATTCCCAAAAGCATGCACACCCGTGTCTCTCAGACTTGAATTTGTGTTGATGTGTGATATGGAAAAATTATTTTAGTCGGATGAGACACCCTCAGTGGTCATCTGGTTCACAAATGCACGCACACATCAATCTTGGAAGGGTTGAAAGGCCACTTCCGAACTACCTGGGTCAATCATTGTACAGAAAGTAAGATGATGGACAGGTGGAAGACGCTGGGGACAGCAGTCTGTTGTGCTCTGTGGTGTTGTGGGTAGCCTCTGGTCGTTTAGGCTCCGTCCAGCCCACAGGTGTCACACTCTGATCCTCTTTGGGCCTCTGTCCGGCAGCTTTGAGAGGGTTCCCGGGTTTAGCGCACAGTTAGCTCCCTGCAGTCCACCGCCTCTCACTAATGTTCACCTTCAGTATTCCAACTCTCAGTCTTTCCCAGATTGATCCAAAAACACTTGAAATTAATTTACCCGCAAACGACTTTAAAAATCAGTTTTAGTCTTTATGTGAGTGTGTAGCTTTTTTAATAACGGACATTTTAATGGTGACAATTTTTCATTTTGTTATTGTTTCAGAGCATTCTGCTTGTATAAATGAAGCATTTATGGCCATGGGGTGAAAAAAGGGACAAATTTATCTCCTAAAAAGATGGACCCGTCTTTTTCTGACGCATTGAGTTTCTGTGTAACTAAGTTTTGAAGTTTGTTAAACAACCTCAGCGTGCAGTTTGTAAAAGTTCCAACACCCATAAAAGAATGCTCCTCTTTATCAGAGCAAACATTGTGATATGTTTTAACCCCCCCACCCCCCTCTCCCCAGGATTCAATAAGAAGATCAGGGCCTCTCTCCATGGTCCTGATCGCTGTGTTTGACTCTTATGAGCCTTTATGATGACCTCGGGCCCAAACGCACGCGCTGATCCAGCGCATCACGCCCATCTCATCCTGTGTCGAGTCTAGTGAGACTTGATTACTTAACACAGCCCGTTTATGTCTCCCATTTATCATGCAAGATTGGATTTGTGCCTCCGTGCGCGCATGTGTGGTGCGGCCAGTGTGTGGATGGGAGAGAGGGAGGCAGCTAGTGGAGGAGAGGGGGCTCGTTGAGATGCACGGCGCATTCTTGCGCGGAAGGCGAGGCGATCAGCCATCAGGGCAGAGGACCTGCATCGAAACATTCATACTGGAACACTTTCCTCAAACGAGAGAGGACGTATTGATTGCTTTCTTTGTTTTGTGCACCGAAAACGAATCGTTGTAGGATTCCACCAGCGAAGGAGGCGAGTCTACTTGCCGGTTGGAAGTTGTGACACCGGCAGATCTTGGACCTTCTCCGTCCCCAGAGGCTCGACTCGTCCGGAGCTGGCTTCACATTCGGAGCGAGGCGATACAATCGTAAGATCTGACACAACCGGATGAATTAGAAAAGGCATCAAGACTCAAACCAGACGCTTTTGCACGAAAAGTAAGAATGCGTGGCTTTTTGTGGAAGACAGGAAAATGGAAATGAGCTTGTAGGGATCCTGCACCAAGTCTCGACTAATCTGCTAATCTGAGTGAGGTTTCTTGCACACAGAGACTGATCTGTGTGTACAATTAATCATCCAAGACGGGATTTAGACGGGGTTTTATCTCAGTGTGTTAAGTGGCTGAATGTAAGCATGCTTTCAGACATAAGGGCTAATTGATTATAACAAGAGATGTGAATTCCATAAAATTGGAGGGTGCCTTTAAGCAGTTTTGCACCCAGAATCTTTAAAACGATTTTCAATGAGAGTATAAATCACAGATCTTCATATGCATGTCTCCTACTCTCTGTGTGCCATTCAGCCATGACAAACAGCAAACCGCTCACTTCAGCCTCCAGATTGATGCATATGTGTGACCTTGTGATGCATTCTCCAGCTGCAGCCTTTTTCTTCCCTTACTGATGTTTGTGGGTGATTTGGGAGGATTTGTGCAGCACTGCCATCCCCAACCCGTCCTCGTGTCCTCTCTTCTGTAGCACTGGGCTTCTGCTCAGCGCAGAAAGCTTGTGAATGTTTGGCTGAAAAGGAAGGGGGAAAAAAAAGTCTGCGCGTGTGGGTGTAGTCCAGCCTGTTTGTGACAGCCCGCATCCCTCTGCTTTGATAGAGACGAGGCTGAGATATCTGTTTACATTTCTGAATGCTGGGCAGCAGCCTCATTCATGAAGAGCGATGAATGAGCCGCACATCCGCCCAGAGCCTCATTCAAGGCCAGACAGGTGCTATCAGTCAAAAATCAGTCACAGTGGGAGACGGTTTTCAATGGACCCGCCTCTCTGAACCTGTGACAGCATCTAAAATGGTTTCACCCGAAAAGACAACAATGTGTTTGAGCTTTCTTTGTTTAAATGTACAGTTCACATCTGGTTCAGAGCAACAGTAAAAAAAACAAAAAACTGTTTCGATTTGTTTGACTTATGGCTGAAAAACACACCCACCCCACACAAAGCATTTGGAGAATAGAAGCTGAGCTATGGAGGAAAGGCTATTCTGTCTTCCAGATCTGAAGCTGCTGACATTCAAATGATCCAAGTCTCTCACTGGCTGGCCTGAGAGGAGAGACAGGACATGAGGGGGGGGTCATGCATCTGTTCACAGACTCATGCATGAGCAAAGTGTTGCTTATTTTGAGGGGTTTCTCCTTTCAAATGTGATAGTTTAAACATCTTTAAAGTAGCAACTTTAACCTCTTAAGCTGGAGAGTTACTTGTAGTGTTCCTGTTTCAACTGGATGGAGTATTTCTCTGTAAGTCCTCAATTTGAAGGCATTTAAGACAACACCGAGGATTTATCAGAGGTGGAAGAATCACTGCAGCTGTCGCTGAGTCAAAGTAACTGAGGCTGACACACAGAAAAAATGAAGGACTTTTTTGGTTGCATTATAAAATTTAGAAATCGTTTGACAGTATGAGTCAACATTTTGCTCCTTTATATTCCCCGTTTTGTCGTTTCAGCTGTGTTTGGTTGGCATAGAAATGTTGTTCATGAGCTTTTGGCTGAGATTCAGATGCTTCGGTGGCTATCAAAGGTGTTTGTATATATATATCCAACAGGCATTGAGTTCCCCACCTTAAGCCTGATGTGGCTCCAATGGTGTTTAATTATTTTTTTTATTATTAAGTTTGATCCTTACAACACGAAAAGTTTAGGGTTGGAGAGAACCAGTAGAGCAGGAACAGAGTGGCAAAAAAATCCAAAATAATAATAATCAAAATGTCCATACTTGTATATATTTATCGTGCCATTCATCAGCAGAAGCTGACATGAGCCATCACTGACATATTTCTCCTGCTGGATTCATCTTCTCTTTCTCAACACCAACACTGAAACACAGGGCGAATTAAAAGTAGCAGGACACCGTTTTAGTTCAAATCCAGTTTGATCCTGAGCTGACAGTCGGTTCTGGAGATGCTGATGATGCAGCTGATGCTGTGTTGGCAGCATGATGATGCCGAGACAAAGATGACACTCTCATGAAAACACCTTAATTATGATGTTATTTCATCTTAATGTTGTGACGCCCTTTCCAGCTGCACCAGCTGCATGCCAAAGGTGTGGTCATAAATTAGTCAAGTTACAAGTTATATTAGTCACAGAGTAGAAAATGGGCCGTGGAGGTTTTTTTCTGTGCCAGAAATTACTTTAAAAAGTACAAAAACGACTTAGAAAAGTATTAAAATAGAGAGTTGATGAGTTTCATGGCCGAAACTTGCTATCCCCACAGCTTTAGTTTGGTTTTGTTTATAGATGGTGTATTTTTTCTGCCTTTAAAACGTAATCCTTTGACTCATTGAATAAATACGTTTGACTGGGACTAGAAATTCAGACGTAAACAGTCAAACAAGTCGGCTGGGAAATTATTTTAATTCAAACAAGTCAGATTTAGATTAAGGCACAAAACTCCAGAAAAGGGCAAAAGAATTACACATTTTAGCTACTTTTTGTTTATATTTCACAAAATCAAACAGTAGTTTCCTCTTTCTGTCCATTCTTATTAAGTTTATCATGGTCAACAAGACTTGAAAATACTTCAAATTTGAACAGCTTTATTCCTTTTTCACGTCCATTAATAAGTCATGCTAAAGTTAGGAAAGTTTCTCCCCTGGAGTGAATCATCATAAGATATATAAAAGTGGTTTATCCACCCTCTGCATTTTATTGACTATTTTACAGCCTTCAAGGATTGGAGGAGGATTTTTAGGCCAGTGTCCTCTGAAAGTTGCAGTAACCCAGTTTGGTCTTTTTATGCTCAAATTGTTCCACAGATCTGCTCTCTTCCTTGAGGCTTTGCCCTACCTTTAACAACGAAGGCTCCTGCTGCCTGGAAAAGCACCTGCAGACTTTATGAGAGGAAAAAACTCTGGAAAGAGGATCAGAAAACATCCGATCTGTTGAAAATCGTCAGAAAATCATCACCATGTAGTGTTTCCTTTAAGTGGCTAAACACATCCAAAGAATCCAAAGATCCAAAAAGCCTTTTGTTTGCTGATAATTCACTATGATGCCATAACCGTTAGCAAATCTACATGCATTGTGCAGAATTTGGGGTCATTCGAGTTTTTAACTGTGCAACTATTAACCTTTAACACTAACCAGCCCAGCTGGATTCCACATATTTCCATTCATATGCATTCAATTCCAAACATTTGGCCTCTTTTAACAGATCTCCTGTATAATTACATCTATAAAATGTAGTAAATTCCTGGTTATCTGTGGCGGGACAGTGGCTGTTTAAGTGGCGCCCGGTTTTAACTTCTCCAGGGATTCTGGCTGTTATTTTAACGTCTTTATTTTTTGCTCAAAGTGTCTTCGCCTGAGACTTGTGATGGCAATGTTCCCAAAAGAATTGTGGGAAAAAAATGGGGCATAGAGGGAGAGAGAAACCAGGCCAGTGTTCGTATTCTCCGTCTCTTTCTGCAACGAGTGTGTCTCGCTCTCTGATGAGGGCTAAATCATGTCTGTGTAATTTAATTCATTCCATTAATCTTTTTGCTAACTTTAGAGACTTTGGTGATTTGTCACTTGTCGTGATATTTAATGAGAATCAGACCGTTTGGAGCAGGATTTGCCAGTTAGATGTATAGTCTGGAAGCATGGAGGACACTCAAGTGTGGAAAGAAGATGACAGATAAAAAGAGAAGGAAAGTTGGACTCTCTCACATTCTAAGCTGCAGCAGCTGTCAGAGGCTGACCAGATCCTGCCCCGCGGGGCCAAACTGCTCCCACTTAAAACAGAAGTGGCTCCACACTTTCTCTGCAGCCTCTTCTTCTTCCTGCTTAATGATGCAGCTCATCGCTGACTTTTCAAAGCCTTTCTCTCAGGTGGGTGATCATTACCCCTCACTCCTCAGTTTCCTGCTGTTTTCTGAGAGAAATCACTCATCCTCTCCTGAGGGGAATCATCTCCTTTATCACAGCAACAAGGTTCTCAACTTTTTTTGCCTCGGCCCTCTTACATTTCCCTCCATATTTCTGCTCAAACACCTTTTGATGAATTGTTCTCCAAACCTGTTCACATGGATAAATAGAAAACTTTTTGATTATGAAGACAAAATCTGTGTTTTCTTCCCGGAATGTAGCAAAACATTTTGTATTTTCGTTGGATTTGTGGTTTATTTGTCAAGTTTTATTTGGTTTATCTGTTTTAATCAATTACAATTCCTGTAATTCTTACCTTAAACACCTAAAAGAGATATAGATTCATGCTAACTGATGTTAAATATGTAGAAAGATGCACATTTGATGGACATCTGGTGACACTTAAATATATTAGGCATATTTACATGACTGTAGAAAAATCCCCGTAAAGGTGTTCAAAAAAGGTGCTTTTTTTAACCAATGATCAGACCTTTAAGGGCATCTGTTTGCTCACATAAAGCAAGTCCAGGTGGTTGCTCTGCTCTAATAGGATAGGAAGTATATCATTTTACTTACATTTCAGCCTTATCATTCAATTCAACTAAACCGTTAAATGAATGTAATTTACTCTTAAAACAACTAAAGAAAATTACACATATTCATGCTAGCTAATGGGAAAATTGGCAATCTGTGTCAAATCTGCCCATTTGATGCCCGTTGTTGCAGTCTCAACATGGACTTTGTGTCTTTCTGGACATCAGACCTGTTGTGGATAAACATTTTTACCAGAGGACGTTACAAGGGCCCCTGCCAACGCAACAGGAGTATTTTTGATAGTGTGTGGACATGGATCATGGTTGGACCAAGCTGGTTATTCATAAACCTGATGCTGCGATCAAAATGTGAGCGTGCTCATATGTGTGTGTTTTCAATACACAAGATGGAACACCAAACAGTCCAGACTCTCAGGCTGCCTGTGTTGAACATGAATACCTCTGAGACTCATTAAACCTTTTGATTACAGCTCGGGGAGCACGCTCGTGTGCAGCTGCTGAGCAAAGATGCAAAAAAAATGATAATAATAAAATGATCCGAATTTTTTTAAGCAGCACAGGAGAAGTGCGTGAACCCAACTGACTTCTTTTGAGGAGCAGCGATCTCTTTTTTTCATACTCCAAGGCCTGAAACTGCCCTGGAGTTCCCAGAGGCTGAGCTACCGGGCATTTGATGGCTTTTTGAGGCCTCTTGGACATGATAACAGATACATTTGTCTGGCTCACACAGAGATTTGTTTGTTTGTACAAAGGTATATTTTTATTTACATTCAGGAAATATATAGTTAGTTTTTTAGATAGCTTGAAGCCAGTTTCGGTGAAATGACTGAAGTTGTTGTGAGCAGACGTCTGGTTGGACCATTGATCTGTTAGCAGTGAGTGATCCTAACTGTGAAGTTATAGAAATACTGACAGTGATAAATGCCAAACATATCTTAGTTTAGCTGTCTTTGGCCATTGCTAAAGCTCAGTGCTCATTTGTTCTGGCAACATGAGAAAAGAACAGGGGGACCTATTATGTGATGCAATTTTAGGCACAGGTTTTAAAGAAATACAAAGACATCTTCTTCAAACACTTACACCCTCAGACAGAGGCTGCTCCACCCAGGGAGGACGTGAGAACCTCTACAATGGATTGATGAAAGAAAGCCAGCTGTTCAGGTAAAAAACTCCATCTGAAGGGACAGCCTGTGAGGACAGTAACGTCCACAGCTGGATAGGGGAGACAGATGCTTTGAGAGAGGAGGACAGGAAGCCATCCTTGAACAGAGATAGAGTAAATGTTCTGGTTTTGTTGATGCAGACCTCTGAATCTGCACTCACCCTGCAGTGTTATGAACACTCTCTTTTCCTGCCTCTTGTTAACTGCCTGGGTTGCAACCAGTGGCAGACATAGTTGCTTTTTATTGTTTCCTTGGAAATTAGCAGAGCAATCATGAAATCTTTTCGGTAGAAATGCATCTGAAACCATCACAATGACCTCTCCGGTGATCTGACACATAGTCAAAGTCGGTTGCGATCTAGTTTTTTAGTGCATTTTCACACTTTTTCACAGTAAAAAGGAGGAGGATCTATTTTCAGAGCAGCAGAAGACGGAGCAGAAGGAGGTTCCAGGTCCACGTGGTCAGCTTCAGATCCAAACTCAGCGGCTCTCTCAGCTGTTGCCCTTGACAACGCTTACTGCTGGCAGGCCTTCGATGGAGTAGGCATGCCAAGCTGCCAAGTTGCCCTTGTGGGACGAGGCCTGAGAGCTCTTGGCTTTGTTCATGCAAACACTCCCGGCCTGCCACCACCAGGACTCAGCGACAGGTTCACATGCCTGCTCATGGGTCATTCAAAAACTCAAAACAGAGAGCTCTATTTAAACTGAAATGACAGCTACTGAGTGCATTTCAAAGCTAAACTGAGGAGTGTTTTACTTGAATAATCATGCTAGCAGGTACATTTTGCAACATTGTTTGTTTATGTCCAATCAGCTGGTTTAGGAAAAGGAAAGAAGAAAAAAAAAAGTTGCAAATCTCATCATTTTGGGAAGCCAAACCTGATCTGTGGTGATGATATGTATGCTTCTGCAGGGTCATAGTGGGTTGGACGGCAGAAAGTCTGGACTTACCTTACAGAAACCCCATGAGAGATCATTGCTTTGAAACATGAATATGAATTTAAACTGGGCTCTGGCCTATGTGTGATCATAGAAAATCACGAATTGCTTGGAGCACACAAATTCTCCACAAATGTGAAAAAAAAAGCTTGAAACCTGATCTGTTAGAGGATGTTTTGACTGAAATGATCCATAGTCTCATCATAAACACCCACTCTCTCCAAGTTGGACGTTCGACTTTCCAAACACTCTTTTTTTTAAGTTTGGATGTTTGGATTTTCTCCTCGGAGATTTACACAAGCACTGAAAAAGGGCTGATGCTGAAGGAAAAGCAGAGAGAACTGCATGTGTTTGGCCAGATGAGGTGGTAAAAACATCCTCTCTCCGACTGTCCCAAACCCTTTCAGGCCCTGAGGTGAGCCGGCATCCCGTCCTGTTTATCTGCTCAGCTGTTAGAGCTCCAAGTTCGGAGGAAAAACCGACCCAGGAGAACAAAATGTCTGCCATCGTCAGCCCGCTGACCCTCACCCTGATCCTTCTTCTGCCTTTGGTAAGTCTTCTTTCCTTCTTATTTTTCTGTCACAATAAATGGAGCCCTTGTCCAAATTTCCTAATTATGAGAGTAATTATCCCAACAAAGTCTAATCCAAGAAAAAAAGTAGAGCTTTTTGACATCTTTATTAGGACATTTGATTAAATATTAAAAGAAAAAATAAGCAGAAATATTTTTTTAATATTCATCCTTACCGTATGATAAGTCAAAATTATTGTCATGTGGTCTTCTGCCTGCTGTAATCAGGTGCATCTGATTGTGCACAACAGGGTTTTGCTAAAAGTTTTTAACACTGATTCATGCAAAAGTTCTTAGATGCAGAAGCTTTATGTATCAAATATGATAAATATGGCAGGATTAAAAAGACATTCAAAGTCATGATTCTGCAATCTAAACTGATAAGTCAAAGATATAAGTTCTAATGTCTTCAGACTCGGATATTACAAAGCATTTGGCTGTTCTTTGATGTAACTCTGCAGAATTAGGCATCAGATGTTTACAATTACTCCTGTCTCCTTCAACATGATCCCCAAAGACATCTGGATCACAGATTTGAGGCCCCGGAAATTCGATCTCCACCACAGAACATCTGTGATGGTTCATTACTGTTCACCTCAAAGTGAGCAGACGGGTAGTCTGCCCGTGTGGGTCGTCCTCTGCATGGGCAGATAAACCGTCAATAAACCAGCAGGCTCAGGAACAGGTGCAGCTCCTCCTGAATAAATTCAGCCGCCAAGGATTGATTTTCACACACTTGTACAGTCATTCACTTAGAGTAACCTTATGGAGAGTCAGCATCAATAATTCACTCATCAGCTTGTGGCAGGACGATGGATGAGCAGCCTTACTCATCATTTATTGATTGTTTGCTCAGCATCATTCCAACCTGTTTGCTGTGTAAGAACAGCTTTCTCTTATCCTCAGCTCCAGGAAAAGCCCAGAGGAAACTCCTTTTGTGCCTGAACATGATCCCCATCCCTCTGCTCTCAGACAGGGGACTCCCTCCACCACTGGAACACTGCTCTCTTTAAATTGTCTAAACAAATGTCCAACAAACTTTATTTTTTAAGATCAGTTTTGGTTAACAACATAAACTTACTTGTGGATGAAGATGCAATAATGACTATTGGTTGATATTAAAACTAACCTCGATTTAATCCAATTTTGGAGGGAAGTATTGACTATGAGTTTATCAAAACTCTAAATCATCTTAAGTGAATGTCATAGAGTCCAATTTAAGCAAATTATTAATCAATTTGTTGCAAAAAAAAGTCAGTATTAGATAACATAATACAAATGTTAATAATCCAAATTAATTAAATTCACTCCCATAAAAATAGACTCCAAGAGTTTCGTTTTTGAGAAAACAGATTTCCCTGAAACATCCATAGAAAAACTGAACCAGAAATAAACCTCCATCAAAACTAGAAACAGTAAGAAAACTCCATCAAAACCAGGAAGGAGACCCCATCAGAACTGGCTCTGGCTGCAGGTTTTGGGATCAGCCAAAGGCCAAAATATTAAAAAACACAACAAAACAACAGCAACATCGAAGTAAGAAAAATAAATATTAAATTAGATTATATAATTTTTTTCATTTTATTTTCATATTATTACTTATTTAAAAAAGATAAGCCAATACGTCCAATACTAAGTCTGTACCTAGAATTCCATTTCACTGTTAAAAACAACAATTTTTAAGTGTTAAGCTGCTTTTTAATGATGTCTCCCATCAGTCATGTGATCACTTAGCAGTCGCTACACAGCTGCAGCCCGTGTACATGTGGTGTGAAGCGGATCCAGCTGGGCATGCTCAGTTTGACCTAATTAGACATGGAGATGTGATTCATGGTGTAACAGATATGACATAATTGCCATGCCTTAAAATGGAACGCTCGATAACGACAGGGGAAATCGACTTTGTGTCAGAAAATGTCGGTTTCAGAGGTTTCTAATAAGAAGGAGCTAACACCATGAACACGACCACATTTAAAGGCAACATTTGCAAAAGATTTACAAGAATAAACGACCCTGTGCTGGGTTCTGTACCAGAGAGTGGAATTAAAGAGTCATTTTCAATTAATTTAACCCAAGTCAAATCTAAACTGTAAGAAAAATCATGAAATCAAGCTTTGTTTTGTCCATTATAATTCATTTAGAGGCCATTTCCTAACCACCTTCAGCACATTCTGCTGTCCCTGATGGGAGTGAACACCTTTAAGCATATTCGTTTTCAATTTAATTAATTGAAAATCACAATCTTTGTCAGTCTGGCCTCTGGCAGCAAAGTATTGTTTTTTTTCCTGAGGCATTTTGATGTTTAAAATCAAAAGCAGAGAGGTTAGTATTTCATTTATTAGTTCAAAGTAACTCAATTGAATTATTTGAAGTAACACATCCATGCTGAAGGCCTCCATAACAGGAGGAACAGTTTTCTGTTGTCCCTCACAGCAGAAAACTGAATTCTGATTGGCTCATTATTTTATTCGTAGCAGATAAGAAGTGCTTTAGCTTTTTAAGACTTCATTAATTGGATAACACAGACAGAGCTGGCTGTAAATCATCCTGCAGACGTGTACATTTATGCTCGTTCTCCTCAGTGGGCAGGAGCAGTAATCTCTATTAATCTAACAAATGTTCTGTGAATAAACCAGAGTGAAGACTATTGACGTCAGTGGGTAAATGACCTCTTTACCAATAAAACAGAGCCATGGTGTCTCATCCTGCAGACGCCTGCTCAAAGACATGAGACTTTACCCTGCACAGACATGTCATAGCTCAGGTCCGGTCATATAACCGGTTGAAATAGCATTTCTCTGCTATTCTCTCCTCTTCAGGAAACAAATGGACCCTCATGGAGCAGTTTTGTCAATTTCTGGCTCAATAAACTCTTGCAATCAATGATTTTTACTTTCACCAAAAACTATTGAAAAAAACTTTTTTCCACTACTAACTGAGGTGTAATTTGGATTCCAAGTGACCACCACTCCTGGAAAAAAACGGGGGAATCATATATCATGGTGTTGGTCATGTTGCAGAAAAAGGCGGATGAATGACTATTTAGATATCTGTTTCCCAAAATATCCTAAAAACAGCCAGAGCTGTTTCTGACCTGACAGGACCTGGGCTGAACAGAGGATAAGGGTCATTCTAGGGTGCCTGAGTCCCTAAATGCACCTTGTGGCTTTGACTTTGATCTCTGGTTCGGATATTCTGGTGCTTCTTTCCACAGCTTTAACAGATGTAAGCAACTCCTGGCAAGCTCCATGGCATGGTGACTAAAGAAGTGCTTGTCTGAAAGACCCAGCTGCTTTCCCCCCCAGAATAACTCCCCTCCTCTGGGTCAGTTGGCATGGGGAGGGTGCCGGCAGCTCAGCAATGTTTTATTTAACTGGTTGGGGGTTAAAAACAGATCCCAGGGCTTTTTCCTCTCCCACACTGTGGTCGGAGCCACAATCCTCAATTTCACATTTTTAGGTCCTTCCTCAGTGCTCTTCATCTACTTGACTGTATTTTATTTGTCTTTGTTTCACAGGGATCCAACCAACAAGTCCCCTCCAACTGCGTGATCAAGAGGGAGCAGGAAAAGTGTATGGAGATGATAGAATCAGAGTCCGGTTCTGAATTTGGTAGGTTATTGATAGACTTTAATAATTTTGATAATAATAATAATATTGATACAATGTATCAGAGTTAGAATACTGCATACACCAGCTTTCTGAAATACGTCACAACTATTTGATCAAATCTCACAGCAGCATAAATTTAGTTTTTGGAATTAGAGTCTTTAGTGATAAACGCTTTTCATATGGCCACAGTGCCGGTGCTTTGTATTCATCCAGAATATTATTGCTGGAAATCCATCCAGGTTCCAAGTTGGGCTGGATGGGCGGGGGGGCTGGGTGTGGAAGTGTGAGGGCGTTCAGTAAGATGCAGGCGGGGTGTTGTTTTTCTGAAGGTGAGCAGTGAGCTGCCACAGCTGGATTTAACAGGAAGCCTGTAAAGCTGCTAAAGGATGGAGGAGAAATGCCTGATGTCCAGGATCGGGGAATAATTTGAAACCAATTGTAATTTATGCAGGGACTTGTCAGATAAACCAAACAAAAGGGAAAATGTTGGAAAGTGGCTGAAAAACATAAATGGATGAAAATGTTTCGTTAAATCATCTCATCAACGATTTAATTTCACATGAAATACCTGACAGGAAATGAGTGAACCAACTACAAAAATCATCAAAAAACACCAACAAAATATCACAAATGGAGACTTCCAGTTCTTTTTCTTAAATTCTCCTCTGACTCCGGCTGGACATGAGGGTTTCTCGGGAGCTGCTCTGTGAGAGATGCCACCTGAGGAGTGTGACCATATGTTTGTGTCCCTGTCCTCAGACTGCCCGTGGTTTTGGGACAATCTGACCTGTTGGCAGCCAGCAAAAATCGGAGAGGTGATGGAGGTCAACTGTCCTGAACTCTTCTCCCAGTTCATCAGCGAGGAAGACTACGGTCAGTGTGTGGACGCTCTTCTTACCTAAAATGTTCTGCAACAGGTTATGTCTGTACAGTTTGGTTTAGCATGTCATGATCATGTGAAATTATACAGATTCATAATTTTTTAAAGACATTTCCTTCCATTAGGTGTGTCTTGTTTCCTTTTAACTTTAAGATTTTCAGGTTTCAGGTTTGCACTTTGTCTCTTAACCAGCTTTATAGACCTGGATGTTGTCTCTAATAGTGTTTCCAGTTGAAAAAGGCAGTTAAACCCTTTATTGTTATTTTTATTGAATGTTTCCCATGTGATAACAGATCCAGTGACGTCTCTCAACTCATCATTTATTGTGAGAAGGCTGAATAGGCATTTTCAGAGTTGATTTCCTGTTTCTGTTTATTACTATCATTATTCCATACATTGTTTGGCACATGCTTCAGCTGATATCAACAAGTCAGAGCTCCAAATGGCTGATCTCTTTCAGGGAATATCTACTTTATATTTTGGTGTTGATTACATGTAAACTTTTTAAGTTATTTAACTTTCTGCACACATTTTGCTCTCGTTGAAATTAGGCTAATTTTTCACTTTTCCCAGCTGTTTGTAGTTAGCAGATAAACATCTGCGCCCCAGCTTCAGATGCTAAAATCATAAAGATTGAGTCTGATTAAAAAACGCTATGTGTCCACAGAAATTGGGAAGGTGAGTCGGAACTGCACGGAGTTTGGCTGGTCGGAGACCTTCCCCCACTACATCGATGCCTGCCTGTACGAGGAGGGAAACAGCACCCACCCGGTGAGTTCCCCCCTCCACATCTGGGTGCAGCTGCTTCTCATTCAGAGCTCCCTGCTGCTCACTTACTGACGTGCCTCCTCTTCCTCTTCAGGACACGTTCTTCGTGTCGGTGAAGGCTCTCTACACTGTGGGCTACAGCACCTCTCTGGTTTCTCTCACCACCGCTATGGTCATCCTGTGCAGGTTCAGGTGAGATTTTTCAAGTGACGAGGGGAATGAATGTTAATCTGAAACTTGTAGAACTAATCAGGCACAGCAACAGCTTTATTTTAAAAGGAGGAAATAATCAGAAGTCGAGTAATTATACAAAGCAACGTCAAACAAATACAGTTAAAAAGCAGCAAAGGGAAAAACCCATCTCATAAAATTACATTAAACACAATTTCTGACACCGGAACCAGGAAGAAACTTCCACCAGAACCAGGAAAAAACCTAAATCAGGACCAGAAGCCGGAAAAAACCCTCCATCAGAACCAAAGTGAAGCCAAAACTGGAGAAATTTGATCTCTGCTGGTTCTCGTCAGAACTCTGGCTGCAGCTTTTCGGACCAACTGAAGGTTTTTGGGTCAGAGCAGCTCGTTAGAGTGGGAATAAAAACATGATCACAGGTTTATCCACCAGGAACATTACATTTCTAACATGTTCTATTATAGAAGTACCATATTACAGTAGTTTTAGATCACTGTCCAGCCTTGAAGAGAGGCTGTAAGTTCTGACCATTTTGAGTCCTAAGTTGGTGTTTCCATGCCTGATCCAGAGATCCGTGCCTTTGTTTCCACGCAGGAAGCTGCACTGCACCAGGAACTTCATCCACATGAATCTGTTTGTGTCGTTCATGCTGAGGGCCATTTCCGTCTTCATCAAAGACGGCGTGCTGTACGCGGAGGAGGACAGCGACCACTGCTTCATGCACATCGTGAGTGGCCTACGCCTCTGCTCCTTTCTCTGCCAGTGACCCCTAGAGCTGCCCTCATCTTCCCCTTCTGTGTCCTCCTGAAGCTGGAGTGTCGAGCGGTCATGATATTCTTCCATTACTGCGTCCTGTCCAACTACTTCTGGCTCTTCATTGAGGGTCTGTATCTCTTCACCCTGCTGGTGGAGACCTTCTTCCCTGAAAAGAGATACTTCTACTGGTACACCATCATCGGCTGGGGTGAGTGCGACTCCCCGGTCAGGGCTCAGACTGAGAGCTGGGCTGCTGCTGACCGCTCCGTCTGTGCGTTGAGCAGGAACCCCGACGGTGTGCGTGGCCATCTGGGCGGGGCTGCGGCTGCAGTTCGATGACATAGGGTGGGTTGTGAATCGCCGTTAAAGCCCAGGTTTGTGTGCTCCTGTGCTGACCGCCTCTCGTCCCGCTGCCCCCAGGTGTTGGGACATGAACGACAACGCCGCCATCTGGTGGGTGATAAAGGGCCCCGTTCTCGCTTCCATCATGGTGAGAAACCGGTCCAGCCCCAGAGATGTGCAGAGATGCATTTGTGGGCTGAAACCACATGGCGTTTGCGTCCGCAGGTCAACTTCGTGCTCTTCATTGGCATCATCGTCATCCTGGTCCAGAAGCTACAGTCTCCGGATATTGGTGGAAATGAATCAAGCATTTACCTGTAAGTTCTTTTAATCTAAAATGCACCCCCTACCAAGTACCATTTGGGCTAAATATCCCAAATTATATTTTCAGCACTTAAATAGAATTTAATTGTAATTAATGCATTTTTCATCCTAAAAAAAAAAAAAATGGTAAAGAACATTATTGTTTCTGATGGCAAATTCTGTTTGGCAAATTGTATATCTACTATCTATGTCCTAGACAGTTTTAATGGTTGAATGTTCTGTCTGATTCATTTGTAACTGCTCAGAAAAGCCCTGAGAGTTGGCCGAAATTTTGGGAGAAAAAGGGGGAGTTGATTTTGAATTCCCGATTAGCTGAAAATGGCAAAACACTGACACAAAACTAACATAAAAAAGACACAATTAATGTACAAAAAAGACATAAAACCAGTCCAAAGAGAAAAGGGAAGAATTGACCCGCAGCTGTTTGGGTTGTTTTCCAGTCGGCTGGCCCGCTCCACCCTGCTGCTCATTCCTCTGTTCGGGATCCATTACACCATCTTTGCCTTTTCTCCTGAGAATGTCAGCAAGAGAGAGCGTCTGGTGTTTGAACTGGGCCTCGGATCCTTCCAGGTGGGAGCTCCTCTGGTGCCTAAATTTCACCAAATGCATTTTGAAAAACGTTATAGGGATAAATCTGCCTACAGGATATATCAGCATCTCGATCAAAAAAGCTGAAATAATACAATTTTTCCATAGAGTTTAATTTTGGTCTAATTTCTAAACTCTTTGTGTCTTTTCAGGGCTTCGTGGTGGCCGTTCTCTACTGCTTCCTGAATGGAGAGGTAAATCTCACTTTAAATGATCAGTGTGTTTGAATAACGGGAACGCAGATGAAATAAACATGTCAACGAATGAGGTGCAGATTTGGGCAGACAGTAAAAGCATTCAGTTGTCAAAGCTGAACTTTGAATAGGCTACTTTATTATTTCTTTAATGAACTAAATATTTTAATCATAAAAATTCCTTTTACTCCAGTGCTTGGTCCATTTTTCCATTCTTTTAACATTTAAACAAATTTCTCATTGATAAAATCTCTCTTTTTTATAATCAAATTGAAAATCAACATTTTAAGCTATAAATGTTTCTTGTCTGACTTTTTTAAATAATGGCGAGCCCACATTTTTACATAATGACAGTCAAATACAAACCCTAAAGATATGATGAAAAATCAAAGTATTGTTTAGAAAACCTCTCTTTTACATTCTTTTTTTCACTCCCTTCCTTCTGCTCAGATAAACTGACTTGAAGTTTCATGGTTTTCAGTGATCTTGCTGATGCGATATTTGTTTTTTGTGTAACAGCTTTTCTCTTTGCTAATAGAGGATATATTCATGAAACTCTTATATCACACACTGGCAGCTCGTGGTTTAATAAAGTTTAGATGAAGTTAAAAAGAGTTATGTTGCATCTCTTCCTGTGAATCTCTTTGGTTTGTCAGCGTCTAGCTTCTTCCCAGCCTTAAATAAGCTCTTAATAGCAGTTCACATAAATATTCATCCTCTGGTGCATACTTTGGTGAGAAGCTAGCAGGAAGCAATTTTTTTTATGGTTAAGATTTACAATGTTTTGTAAAGAGTTGTCAAACTGTTCTAAACTGTTTCTGTGTAAAATCCAAAGTGCTTCCATATGCTGCTGTTGTGAGGCCCCAAGCCTCCAAAAACAAAGCAATTGTGTGTACTTAGTTAAAAAAAAACCAAATTATTTGCCATTCAGGCCTATAATAAACTCATTTAGATAAATTGGAAAATTGATTTTATGAATTGATTAATATTGACAAAATATGCAAAAGCGTTACACTGAAGACTACATAAAGTGTTTCCATCATTCCATTTGCATCCAAGCAAAACAACCTCTCAGCTTGCTCATGCCTTGGGTTGTAATTGTACTTTTGGTGATTTGAATAGATATTTATGCCTAATTTCTGAGTAAATAAGCAAACTGCAGTATAAATGAGAAATATAGAAAGAAGAAATTAAAAAAGTCATCCTGTGGCAAAATGGGGAAAAAGGAAACAGAAATGTGACTTTCTAAAATATTTTAAATATAGAAAAAATACATTTGAAGGGAAAAGCAAGGATAAAAAGAATAAATAAACCAAATAAATGGTTAAAGAGCTCACTAAAATTATAAATATGGGGTAAAGTATACAGATGGGCTATTAGTTAGAAATGTAGGTGGAAATTAGAGTAGAAATGTGAATTATTTTTGGCACTTTTATATATTTACTGAGAGACTGATCCAGTGAATTTCTGTTTTTTTCCTAATTTCGTTATATTTATGCAACAATTCCAACAAATAAGATTGGAAGGAGGCAGACCTGATTGGTAGATTACACAGCAAAGACTGCATGTCAGCTTGAGTTTGTCATTTTAAACAAGAATATATGACAGATGAGTTTATTTATTAGATTATTTTTTGTAATTGTATTTTTTTTGTATGTTTAATTCTTCAACAAAAGTACATATTTACATATTCTGTTCATGACTATACATTTATTCTATTTCACAGTTTCTTTTTTAAATACAATTTTGACCATAAGGTGGTGCAGTAGCACAGAGAAATGGTATTATTTATGATAATTTATGGCCTAAAATCCATGTAAAACAAGTCCAGTTGCCTTTATTTAAGCCATTGGTACATATGTGTCAAACCATGTTCCTCTGTGGGCTGCTGTCCTGCAGCTTTTAGAGTTTTTCTTGCTTCTACACACCTGATTCTGATCAATTGGACCTATTCCTTCTATTGGCACATTAATTGGAATCATGTATGTGAAAGCAGAGAAACTTGCTGAACAGCAGTCAAAAGAGGGAGGGATTTTGGTAAAAGACATCTGTGTGTGCAGCCTTTGGTCTAAATAAATGTTAACAGTCCTCATACATCTATTGGTATTTTATACATTTTTGTACCAGTCATTGGTCTTATTGTAATACAAATGGACCCTCATGGAGCAGAATGGCTTCCTATGTCTGATAAAAAGGAGAAAATATACATCATTGTGTAGGTCATGTTGCATAAAAAGTAGTTGTAGTAGTTCTAGTATTTTTTTCCTATTATGTTCACAAAACAGCCAAAACTCACTGAGCTCGCTCTGATCTGAAAGGATTCATTTAGAGAGGGTTAAGTAGGAGCCTCATGGGCAGCACATTCACATGTACAGACAGGGAATTCAAATTAGTCTCCTTCCAGCGAGGTCCATTAATAATGACCTTGTGAAGTATATCCCTCAAGGTGCAATCGGAGATCAAGAGGAAATGGCGCAGCTGGACGGTGAACAGGTACTTTGCTGTGGACCTGAAGCACCGGCATCCTTCGCTGGCGAGCAGTGGGGTGAACGGGGGCACGCAGCTGTCCATCCTCAGCAAGAGCAGCTCCCAGATCCGGATGTCCAGCCTGCAGGCCGAGACCCCGGCCACCTGAGCGAGGACCCCGCCGGCCCCAAACCCACCATCATCCCAATGACCAGCCTCACCAACCCGTACCCAAACCCCTACCCGGAAGAGACCATGATGGAGACCCAACTCAACTCCACCGACCCCGAGCAGCCTCTCGTCTGAACCCCGAATGTGCCAAATCCATCTGTTCCAGAAAAAAAAACTAAAACATAAGGCGAAATGACAAAGGGAATCTGGTGTTTCTGGGCTGAATGGCGTTAAAGGAGCCCTGTTGCGTGTACATATATGGCGTTGGTGTTAAAGGGCGTCTGGTGCTAGAGTATCGGAGCACAAAGGATCATTCCAGTCAGTCAAAACGTCTTTAGACTTTAACTTCTGCATTCCTCCGTAAATAGAAAAATATCCAGGCTGTTTTTGTAATTTAAAGTGATTTCTCCTCATGTTTGCCTAGCTGTGTGAGGTCTTTTGTGGCTTTGGAGAAGCTGAAATGTGTTCCGTGGGCTTTTTAACGCAAACCTTTCTTAAAAATGGGGTTAAATGAATACATAGTTGTTGTAGAGCTTGGAGGCTTTGAATATCAAACATTATGAGGCTGCAGCACTAAACACCTGGTGGGACCTTTTAAAGGAAAATATACGGAGACTAAAATAGTTAGAATGACTTTTTAAGGGAATGAAGACCATTACCTTATCTGTACTAGATAAGGAACTCCAAAGAGGCTGTAGCCAACATGTGGACTCCTTAAACAATCCCCAGTCAGTCTCTACAGTTTCAGAGCTAAAAAAAAAGACCATTATGTGTTTTATTCCTGATGTGACTGTGTTTGAAACCTCAGTGTTATTGTCTCCTGTGCAAGCTGTGACTGATCTTAGACAAACCAGATTGAGGAATGTGGGGGTGGAAAACATCCATTAGAAGGACATTTCTTACAGTGACGTGAGCAGCCAAAAAGATAGTCATCTTTGGGTGACTACGACCCTGAAATATTCCTCTTTTCAAACCTCAGCACTGGACAGAGGACACTTTGGAGATCACAGCGTCCAGAAAACGTACAGAAAATGTCAATGAAAATGATACTGACACGTTTTGAGTTCACCCGCTTGCATGAAACTGAACTTGCTCCATGTTCTTTTCCATTATTCGTTTTTTTTCTTATTTTATTTGGGTTTCGAGCTTGTTTTCCTGGTGTTGAACAGGCTGTTTTTTGAGCCTCTAGCAACTCCAACATTGTGCTGGTATCAGATCAAACCTCACAAACCGTTTTTTCCCGGACAAAACCTTCTGATCTCTCTCTGGAGAAAGCTAATCCAACACTTTTCATGAGTCTTTCTGCAGTTTGTGTCTTTAATGTTCGGAAACAAGCACACTCATATGGATGTTTCTTTAGGAGGGGGATGTCTAATTTTCTCCATCCAAAGATAGATTATTCCTCTCTTAACAGGGTTTTTTTTTGCACGGCCGTTCCTGTCTGCAAAGCTTTGCAGCTGATGTCACCACAGATTACTCCTTTGTTCTGAATCCCAACGTTTGTGTCTCCAGAAGTGCCTTTAAGCACAAAACAAGCATTCTGACTTCTGTTCATGATTTCAAAAATGTGTCTTTTCATGTAAAACGGACTCTGCAAAGTTAAGAAAGGGGTTCATCAAAGTGCTTTAATGATTCAATCAGTATGTCAAACCTGGAGGCCTTCGAAGAATTGGAACTTGTCTCTAAACGTGAGCAGGACATCTGGACAATGGAAGTGCTGTTTGGGTGTATTGACAGAAATCTACATGACTTATACACAGTTTAAAAATGCTTTAGTTCTACTATTTCCAGATGCATTCAATGTTTTTCTTTATCTGAAATTCTCTAATATATGTGAAAATATGAGATTTTTCTGCTTGCCAACTGAAAGTGTCTCTCTTGATAAATGTCTCAGTTCTTTCTTAAGTGTATAGAAGTTACAGCTTCTCAGAACAATGTATAATTTGATTTGATTTTCCGTTCCGTTTCTTTCTCTCTTTGTCTTAAACATCATTTGGTGGAATTCTGGGTTAAAAATCAACTGCTTGGAGTTTAAAAACCACAGAGAAGGATAAATATACAAAACACTGAAGACTTAAATAATCTAGCTGCTAGTTTGAATTTACACACAATTACTTCAGAAAGCCATTGCATGAGTGAATTGATATTTCTGGACTTGTTATGACAAACATTTTACATGGGTCGTTCTATTTTTCACTTTAGCTGAGAATATAAACAAGAAATAGTTGCAGCCCTCCTATGAACTGAGACGTCCAGATCGGGCTCTGTTGTTTTTATCTCCACAAAAGGAAGATTTTTCACCCTTAACTTAAGCATTCTTGGTGTTTGTGTATGCAGCCGTCCGCATTTTTCTCCCTTCAGAGTCCAGAGCAGGAAAAGTCAAAGAGAGAAGGGCTGAGCAGAAACTGTGGGGCCCTGCTGTTGCACCGTGCCCTGGGTCAGAGCAGGTCCTACAGCAGCCATAAGGGGGCCCTGTTTGACTTCTTTGAGAAAGTGGCTGGACAATCATCATCTTGGCTCTGGTTCACCTCATTTAAAAACATTACGACAATCTCACCTGGTCACAAAACTAGCTCTGACCCTGTGTTTGTGCTCGTTCCCGCTGGTGGTCCCCTCCTGGAGCTGGAGCCTTATTTTGCCAGTACGATGTTGATGTCAGACAAAGATGTTGCTGTAATTATAAGGATGAATATTATTTGAGTCAGTTGTTCTGAGCTATGAAGTAGTTAGATGAAATGTTCAAAAGGTCTATAGCCTACCTTTGTGACTAAATAAACAGCAGTTTGATGTAGAAGCTGCAACAGTTGTACGCTGTAAATGAAGTCTGTGTTTCAAAGTGAATAGCAGTCATTTAAAGACTTTGCGCTGCTTGTTTTCTTATCATTTGTTCTTCCTTTTTCTCGTGGTGACGGTGCTTGTCTGCTAAGAGCATAAAGCCTCCTGTAACGCCTCTCTTCCAGGCTGATGCATGTGGGCTTTTTTATTGATCTCATTTGGACTGACGATGTGACACAAGGCAGCTTTTTCGGCCGCTGAGGGAATCTGAGCTGTGTCCTCCTGCACGAGGCCAACCATGAGCTAGAACACCAATGCTAGGTTTCAACTGTGAACAGTTCTGCCGACTTGTAGCTCAAATCCCATTAAACGCTTTTCCTTTGAATGTTATACTTCACAGACATGAGGGAAAGCACAGTGCCATCAAAGCTGCTGAACTCTGAATGAGAACTCCTTCTTTTTGACTCTTCTTCTTTCTTTTATTTTGGGGTGGGGGTAATATTGATATGCGTCATTGTACAGATCCCCTGTTTGAACCAGGGAGAGATGACTAAAGGGGGGTCATCGTTTGAGCTCTGAGGGCTGAATGTAACGTAAGCTGCTTCTTTACGCTCACGAGCTCCTCCTTTTTCATTTTTCCCTTCCACTGCATCACTCTGTCTTTTTGTAAATTCTGAAAGTATCCACAATAAATGTTTTTAACTTGTTGGCTCAGCTGTTTGTGGTTAATATTGCTGCTTTTGTTTGACTGCTTACGAAGCAAAAAGTATGAAATTATCCCTTTTTAGTGAGCTTGTCAGAGCTGATTCAAGCGATCAGGATTTTGTTTCAGGTGCTTTTGAAAAGCAAAAACAGCTAATACAGTCCACAGGGGGGCACTGGCCTGTGTGTTTGGGAGGATTCCCAGCTTTTCACACCAGGATCAAATTATCTGTGCTTCCATTTAAGTAAAAATATGCCCCGTCAAAAGAAGTAGCATCAGCAGTCAATTGGAGCCACATGATCCACAATGAGGGACTAAATAACTCAAAACTCTAAAGTGGAGGGATCAAGCTGGTTGCAGTTGGTTATTTTCTCCACTAGATGTGAGTACATCCCTTACAGTTAAAGTCAGCACAGCCTCTCAGTGTTGACTGAGGATCAAACTTCCCAACATGTCCAAAGGCCAGAAAAACACAGCTGTAAAGGCTATTGGGAGAAGATGGACTCTGTAATACCTGATTTGTAAACTGTGTAAACCGTTCTCTGTGTAGAAAACAAAAGGCCTCTGACATCCAAACGCATTAAACAGAGATAAGCTGACAGACAAAACAAAACAGATTTAGATGGTTTCGTGGCAGAAAAAGCAGCCTCATTGTTTAATCTCACCTCAAGTCAGAGAAAGTAAACAGCAAATCATAAACTGGAACCTGGAAGAGAAACACTCACAAGAGAAAACATTTGAAACTATAAATGACACAGATCTAAACTTCAAATTTAAGAAATCGTGAGAGGCTTTCTGCAGATCAAATCAAATGGGTAAAATATTCTGATGCCTCTTGAATCACAACACAACACAGAAGCATATTTTTTGTTATCTTTTCACAAGAATAAGACTCGGTTACACACATTTACACAGGTAAACCTGAACTATACATCGACAGAGTGGGTGGAAAAGGCACTGTTGTGGTCAATATCTGTGTACTTATACTGTACATATTTACATGCATGAAAAGGCAAAAAGTCAATTTCCCCCAAACTTCGATACTCTTCCATGTTATGATAATAAAACTACATTCAACGTATAATACAGAAATGTCTACAGAGCGAAAACACCAACAAAGCAAATAAAATGTCTCCTCGGCTAATAATTTAATGTAGAGGGAGCAGAGAAGAACATCATCGAAAAACACTCCAGCTCAAATTAGCTCACATTCACTCAAACACTGTAAAACAATAATCCGACAGATGTGTAGCTTTTACAGTCTAGTGCTCCAGATGTGCGCCAATGCACTGTGCAACATATTGCATGCGGATGTTCAATCGGACACATTTAACACAGGAATCCATCGGAAACCATACGTCAGACATCGTACTGAGACAGATCTCCATGGATCATATGAATGGAAACCTGTTTGCTGTTGTCGTAACAACAGTTTCAAACGACTTTTCACGGTTTGTTTTAAACATTCTGAATACTTGAGAAAAGTTGGATTAAAAAAGGCAAAACTCCCTAAATATAGGGAACATTTTTAACTTTCATAATTAGTTGTGAAGCATCTACAAAACTCTGTAAATGGTTCCCTTTTTATACAGCCGTCTAATGCTGCCTGTATGAGTCATTCATCACAGGCCGATCAATAGAAGCAACCCAGAAGAGTATTACCTGTGAAAACTGGACAGAAACAGATAAGAGTGGGAATCTGGATCCTGATATATCCTGAATAGTAGACTGACTTAGAAGCTTCAAGAACTATCAACCCCCAGTCTCAGGTCACGGCCTCCGACTGGAAAAGAAGCTGGGAGTGGGTTACAGACTCATGGGGAAGAGTCGAAGAATGTTGGGGTCTTGTTTACGAGTAGAAATAAGACAGATGGACCGGGGCGGCGTCTGGTTGGAACAGTTGGTGAGCTCGGAGACTTGGGAACGTCTCTGCGTCACCCCAGAAGAGCTAAGGAGCTGGCTGAGGACCAGGAGCTCTGTGGATGTGTGTTCAGACCAGAGAGGAGGCAGATGAAGGATGGATGCACAGAAGCTAAATGTTGTCTCCTGTCCTGTTAACAAGCTAAAGATTGTTATTCGATGCTGTATGTCTCCCCGCCTTTTAATATCCATCTCTGAGTAATTCCTGCTAAATGTATTCCCAATTAGTGTGCTATGCCTTTAATAGAGTCAACAGTGAAAATTATTTCTGCAAAGAAGCCAAAAAAGTGCTTCAGAATATAGAAGGCATGATGATTTGAAGACTAATTCATGATACAAAATGTGTCTTTAAAAATATATTTTGCAGGTACCTCTAATTTAAACATTATCTGGCATTACATGCTCTTTCTTGGCCTTTAACCCTCTTCCATGTCTTCCGTGTTCCCTGGTGTCCTGTTTAATTTGGTGTTGCACATCCACATGAAAACTAGTTCCAAAGTAAGAACCATTGTCGAATTAGAGTTTAATATTGAGGGAAACTGGCAATATTAATTTAGAGTTCAGGAACCAGATGGTTTTCTGTGTTTTCTTTGTTTTAAAAGTGGAGAATTTCTTTACATGCCTGGTTCCACATCTGGCTCCTGACTGTGGAGACCAAAAGCAGGAAAACTACATTTTTCTGATTCATATTTTAATTTGTGACCAGCTGCACATGTCACAATGTCAACAAAAGAGCACAAACATGTCAATTAAACCACAAAACAGCAGACTTAATATCTCGGCTTAATAAAATAGAGATGACCCGCTGCTATTTCTGAAAGAATAAAAAGTTGTGTGACATACTGTACATACTCTGTGAAACTGGAGGATCTGAAGTTGTGAGCAAGCAAAAATACAGATGATATAGTACATACCTGCCTTTGAAACACTGTAATCTCTGTATCGTAGAATAAGAATCGAGGTCTCATATTTGTTCAGCAAAAAAATCATAGAAAAGTCACAAAGTACCTTAAACATTCAACAATCAGGCTCTGTGGTTCGTTCTGTGAAATATGAAGCGGATGTGCGGTGAAGGACTCGGCTGTGAGGCGCCCCCTCAGACGGCGGACACGTTGCTGGGCGTGATGGCGTGCGCCTCTGAAACCGGCTGGTCTTTGGGGCTGGATTTGTCCAGGACGGATATCTGAGTGACGGTGCTGCTTTCGTTGAACAGCGTACGCCGTCGTTTGCTGTAACTCAGGTAGCTTTCGGTCTGCCAATTCCAGAAGCGCTTCTTCAGCTCGGCCTGCACCTGAAAATGCACACAGAGAAAAGACTTTTGTCACATTTGCCCGATTAAACCATCCATTCTGAGAGTTTTCTCAGTGTGCAGGAACGTGGTAACCCTTAACCCATGATAACGAACTGAAACAATGTGACTTCATCCAGAACGGATAAACTCATCTGGTGGGTCCTATGCCTTAAATAGACTTAGTTTTAAAGCCATCAGCTTTTAAAACTCCTAAGATGAGGGAGAGGAGGAAATAGGATTCAGAGGACAGAAGAGAAGGTGTTTCATGTACTTGCCATGCAGTCATTTATTTGCATACAAACCCTGACTTACATTTTGACTAATCTGCATTTTCTATTTTTTCTAAGAGTTTTCTGTGTTGTTGTTTTTATCATATACCTGTCAAACTTCTCTGCGTGCTGCTCCTTGGGTTTTACAAGTCCATTTTGGACTTTAAACCCTAAAAATCTAGCTTTAGCGTTCCAGAGTGTGACATGCAGAGCAGAACAAACTAATCGTATCCATGCCTGAGTTTTAAACAGGGTTAAATCTAACAAAAAGAACAGTCTTCGTTCTTATTGAGTCCTAAAGCAACATGGTAACTGTCATGAAATGAAGAGCACAGAGACAGATTTCCTCGATGTCACTGAATCCTGTAACTACTTCAAAAGAGTTATACCTGCTTTCCAGAGCCTCAGGGTGAGGATAATACACTCTACATGCTACACCAAGTTTATTTCTTAAACCTAAGACAGTAAACGAGTTCTAAATCTGATAAGTCACAGTGGGATCTGTGTATAATATACAGGATTCAAAGATGGACCTGGAAGAGAGTGGTACAGATTTTACTGACCTCTCCATTCAGGAAACAGTACAGCAGAGCCACGACGAATCCCTTTAAAGCATAAAAACATTAGATGTTTGTTGGAAGTTGATTCTTATTCAGCTTTGGATCTGAGTCTTGTCTTGTTCAGTACCTGAAAGGATCCCAGACCGAGCTCTATAAAGAGCCGAGCCTCTGCTCCTGTGTTTTCTGGGAGGAACGCGAACACCATGTAGTGCATGCCAAACAGAGGGATGAGCAGCAGAGTGGATTTGGCCAGTCTCCTGCACACACACAAACACACACACGTACACACACATGCTAATCCTCCCTGTTTGGGTGCATCTATGGGTTCATTAATGCGGGATTTGTTCGGTCTCACTTGAAGTGGCTGGTGTCGTTGCCTCCCACTCCGGGTGACCTCAGCTTCTGGACCAGAATACGGATCACATTGATGAAAATGATGAAGTTTACCTGCACGAAAAAGTTATCACCTTCAATTTTGACACAATATTGAGCAATCTTTCCTGCCGCAAATGGAAGTAAAATGTTTTGTTCTCAGTGTGAGTGTGGTAAAAAGACACAAGCCCACCTATAATCTCTTTACTAATAAAACACTAAAACACACCAGTGGAAAAACTAAACAATAATTGCTTTATCTTAAAACTGGTCAGGCTTTCATTTTGGGAATACATCAACCTCTATTGGCTTTTTATTGTTATCCCTAATATGATCACATTATTAGAGTCAAAATGCAAGGCGCTCCACGATTGAGGAGTCTTATAATCCTCCAATATCTCCCACTTTACTGCTCTGTACTCACCAGTAGCGATGCAGTTATTGGGGCTTTTATGATCCACCAGATGAACGCCACATCTGTGTCATCCCAGCACCTGAGACACACAACAGGACAACAAGACCATAAACAACAAGAGTCTGTCAAGTCTAGAGTTTTTCTCGGAACTCTTAATGAAGCACACAAATGTTTCAAAGCCAGAAAAGTATTCTGAAAAAACAGATGCTCTTCATGTATTGAACATAATCATTTTGCTCATTAACTTTACAATAAATATGACTAATTTAATGGAAATGGCTACCCTGACAAGATAGAAACTCTTTCAGTATATGTAACATCCTTGATTGATAAGACACAAAAAGTTTTTTTCTAATTTTTCATGCTAGAACGAAAAACGTACAGGATTACAGACGTACAGGAAAAGATCCTTTGCTAAGGCAAAAAAAAAAGAATTAACATTTGACTTGAGGTAAGTTAACGCATGAAAAAATATTTTTCTTTATTATTGGATGTTTTTCATAACTAATCTTTTACAATAGACAAAAATGTTGCAAAAAGAAAACTTAACAACTGAAAAGGTTTTGGTTTCAAGTATTTAAAGATTTTAATGTATTTATTTGAACAATTTTGTCATTTTTATTTAATACTTTACAATGTTTATATAATAAAGTAAAAGTTAAAAATCAAATGGGTTTATTTAATATGTTTTATAACTGAAAAATAAGAAAAAAAATTTACATGAATAAACTTGTGGATTTAGCTTTAAGGATGGACTTTGACCACTTTTAGCTGGACTTGTAAAACTCTGCTTTTAAATGATCTAGCTAGCCATGGAGCTAACAGAAGTTCCTGCTTTGGTAACTGGCAATCTTCCAGTTTAGTAAGGATTTGTTTTTCTTAATGGGTCCTTCAGGGAATATTTATATCATTACCACATTTTAAGCTGCCTGTAGGGTTAGTTTAGCACCGTGACTGAAAATAGAATTCAAACTCCACTCTGACTTGACAAATCCCATCTCTGCATTTATCAAATTCCCTTGAGATGTTGTAATAATTTGAATATCTTACAACACTGCTTAAACAGAAGTGTAAAAAGAACTTATTTACCGGAAAATAGAGAGAATTGGCTTGATAGTCCCATTTGGATTGTTAGGCTATGGCAAGTAAACTGGTAGCAACCTCCATAATATGCATATCCAAAGTCTTTCTTTGCTTGACTGTGTCAATATATATGCTTGCTTATCTTTCTCAGTTGGGCTTTTATTCTGTTCCCAATATAGTCTTGGGGTATAATTTGTCCTCAGTCAAATCCTCATTTATGTTTCAGTTATACATTTCTTTTCTTTGTAGCAAGTTCTACCATTTTAGTCTCTTTTTATCTATAAATATATCGTTTTTCTTTACTAATTTAAGAAAGTAATCTGTATGTACCCCCAGTTTCGAACCAATTTCCAGCAGTTGTGTTAAACCTCTATCAGCAAATAGTAACAAATACAGCAGGAGAATTTAAGCCTCTTCTAATGCCCCCATTTGCTCAGAGGTTGGATGCATAAATTCAGAAGGTATTTATAGTCTCTGTATTTCAGGCATCATCTCTGATCTTTCAGCAACAGCAGCTCACCCCTTGTTATCATAGAAGTTTCGAGTGAGGATCCAGGCTGTTATGATTGTTGTTGGCAGACCTGGGAGAAGCAAACAAGGCGAGCTGGTCATTAAGAAAGCGACACAGTGGAGCTGTCCCTAACAAGGGACAGAGACAGACATGGCGGAATAAGCCACATCAAGAGAGACGAGTGGCAGAGATTGAAGCACAAACCCCAGCCGATGAGTATGTACCACCAGAAGTACTTCTTCTGGAAGACAAAGGTGAGCGCAAGCAGCGTCTGCAGGTACATCCCCTCCACCAAGAGCCAGAAATAGTTGGCCAGTATACTAAACTGGAAGAAGGCCACGGCTGATTTACAGGAGGTCTGCCAGACAAAATAATTTAAAAAAAGGTTAACCAAGCTTACCTGATGAACTGAAACAAGAGCATTGTGTCGCAACAATGCCTACAACAGGCAAGGCAAGTTAATTTGTATGTTTCAGATGAATGACCATTAAAAAACTTTAGATGTATTCAAATAATTTCAATATACAGGAAAGCTGAAAGAGATCAAATGACAAAAGGCATTGATGAAAGGCAGCAGATAATACAAAAGTTTTTAACCTGGATTTAAAACAGATGAGTTTGTTGCACAAGTTAGAAGCATGAAAACTAAACACTGCATCTCCAGATTTAGCTCTGGCTCTGGGAACAGAGAGTAGATGACCTGTGGCCTCTGGCTGGGTCATAAAGAACCAGAACATCCTGCATGTATACTGGCCCTCAACCATTCATGGCTTTGCAGTATTTTGATGCTACCTCTTGGACTGGATCAACAAATAAAGGTTCTTGCTATTCCTACTGCTCTCCTGTTCCAGCTGGTAACTCTATTACTGGTAACTCTATTATATTCTTCTAACTCTATTATGTTAGCTAGCCCCTTCCTCAGGATTTGTACCCTCTAGTTATCTTTGTAGTTAGCTATTTCCTCATCTTCTGTTCAGTTTATCATCGTCTCAGTGCTTTATTTTCCACCTTCATTGTGAGTTTCCGCTTGGATTTATGTTGGATTGTTAATTTTTCTGCTCCAAAGCTATTTTTTGTTGTCTGTCTAATTTATATTATTAACTATATTTAATCTCTACCCGTGAGTCTGAATTTGAGTATGCAAATATCTTCAATGAAAATATTTCTTTAAGAAGCTGATATCTTGAAATTAAAGTAATTTCAGCCTTTTCCTCTGTCATCTCCTCATCCATTCATCACCACTGTGATTTTCTCTCATTTTTCCTCTTTGTTTTGATGGATAGAGGAGCTTTCTGGTGTCTTATCAGCCTCTGCGTCCGCCTCACTTCCCCTCTAAATGAGTCACAGAGTGCTGATGCTGATCCCTCGTAGACACACAAGCGGGACACTTACCTTCTGTGCTGCAGCTTCATCAGCAGAAAAGTAGGAAGAGAAACAGTCATCATTAACACTCTCACTCATACCCTTCGCTCTCACTCATCCCCTTCTCTCTCGCTCTCTGTGATAAGCTCTTTTGGGTCTTTCCTGAGGAGCAGACACTGTAATCCTGACGACATGCTCAGACTTCTTAGTTGTTCGCGCCGATTACGCTTTCACCTGCTTTGCTTTTATGGAATCAGGTTTCTGAATGAATGGCGGAGCGGGTTTTGTGTATGCAGAGCATGGGAGCTCTTCACGGGGGATGCTGACGCGGCACACTCACTGTGGACATGAAGCAGTGGTCCAGGTCTTCATCAGAGAAAAGAATTCCATCTTTGATGAAGACTGCGCTCGCTCTCAGGATGAAGGAGAGGAACAAGTTGATGTGGATGTAGTTCCTGGTGCAGTGAAACTTCCTACAGAAATGAAGAACCGTACTTAAAAGCCTTTTATTTTACCCTGCATGTCTGGACAATTTAGCAAATTCACAGGTGAGAGTCGACTGGAAACTCTGAGCGTTACCTGAAGACTGTGAAAACAAAAATAGCTGATATGAGGGAGATGAGGGAGGTAGCATAGCCGGCAGTGTACACCTGTTTGAAGTTGGAGAAATATGTTGTCTGTAAAAGACAAGAAAGAAACAAATCCCTCAGTTATGATACCTCTATGATCAGAAAACAAGCAGAGATAAACTGATACAGACTCTTTACTCAGAGTAGCCATGGGATTAAAAAGAGGTTCTCACATGTTACATTTAAAGTTTTCCTTTCATTAAAAAGGCCTCAGTCTACCCCAGCTCCAAATACTAGAGCTATCAAGCCAAATAAAAACCATTTAAAAGCGTAAAGAGATTAATTTCATGGGGAAAACAAACATTGGGGGCTGTTCCTTAAATGTGCTATGATTTGGTTTCCGCCACCTTGGGAAGTAAGACAGCAAAGATAAGGCAGGATTTTTGAGGATGTTTGTGGAACATGAAGCAAAACTTTGGTCCTCTAGCTGCTGGTTCAGTTCTTAGTGTTTATGGCATCAGAAACATTTGACATTTTTCTGCTCTTCAGCAAAGGCATAAACGCAGCAGCTCAAAAGAGCACAGGCTGATGCTTGTCAGTTCTACCAGCAGCAGATTAGAATAGCAATTTAGTGGGTATTTATATGAATGTAACAGTGGGTGGAGTTGAAAGCATAGTAATTAAATCTCTAACAGCAGGTCATTACTGTATATGAACTGCTGTCGGCTCAAGTCCCCACACTCACTGGATCCTCAAATAATGGAGGTGCAAAATGACACAACTCTCCAAAACTTTTGTTTTTATGATAAAGCAAAATGAAGCTCAGGCAAAGAACAGGGCAGAGATTCAGTGAGAGACATAGTTAGTGGGTTGAAAGGGAAAACTACGTGAAAGTACTGGGTAGAAACCTCTACCTCTCGTTCTGCTTCCGTATCCTCTGCAAACTCACAAGCATCCTCGTAGGACGGGAAGAGGTCGGACCATCCGTTCTCTGTGCAGTTCCGATAAACGTAGCCTGGAAAATAAACGAGGCTCTCAGTGGTTTGGACAGATGAGAAACAGAAAGCAGGAAAACCAAGTAAAGCAAAATAAAAAACATATGACCAAAAGGTTATACAAAGTTTAACATACCGACTCCGATCAGTTAGAAGTCTGATGTTGAATACATCAGACTACAACGACAATTTCAACTTAAGGAGGAAGTTAATTGATTATGAAAATTAACAATTCAAAACCATTTCCTCTTTTCTTACAAAATTTTAACCCACTCCCTTGGCTTCTCTGAAAAGTCACAAATGTATCATGTATCAAGCAGAACATGAAACCACTACAACAACTTTTCTTCTAAAGAATGAAAGAAGTGGAATTTGACATCTTAATCAGAAATAATAATCCATCCATCTTCTTTATACACCGTTTATTACCAATGGTGTCACAGGGATGCTGGAGCCTATCCCAGCTTTCAGAAATAATCATTTTTTAGTAAAATATTATATTTAAAAACTCACTGATAATAATAACAGTTCTATTTTAATGTTAAAATATGTGGTTTAAAGAGCGTCTACATTTTAGTATTAACCATTGCAGGAACATACCGCATTATTCTTGGAACTTTACACTTTACAACACTTTACACTGTGTTTAATACAGCTCAGCCAAGTAAAACCAAATGCTGACTTATAACACAATCTGAATCCACATGTTCTCCCTCAATGGCCCAGAGTTAAAATCATGGGGCTCCTGAGACGTCACAACCCACACCACAAAAGAACACCAGGTTTCTCGGAGTCAAAACCAGTTTTTAACAGAGCGCACCCGGTGGAATTTCAGGTTGGAGTTTGGTGGAGCGAAAATGCCGTCCAGCTCCTCAGGACGGCAGAGTGTGGGGGTTTGAGTCGTGGGTGGATTCGCCCATCTCCAGCCGCAATGGCCTCAGCATAGCGGAGCACGAGGAGCCGTAGGCCTGCAGCTGCAGCGAACGGCGGGATGTGAACCGAGGTTTGAAGGCTGAGGCTCTGGGGAGGGTGCTAAAACTCGTCTTGCCATGCTTAACAAGCAGTGCCAACTCCCTACTTATGCTCCTGGCTCTTTGGGTGAACTCTTTGATTTTCCAATTCATTATTTTTCTCTGCATGCGGAGTCCCTTTGGAAAGGATGGACCCAGCGCACAGCTACAGCGCTGGACGTATCCGGGCAGTCTGTGGAGGAGGAAATCCAGCAGGGTCCAGGAACCCACTAACACTGAGTTACGAGGTCATCCAAATCAACCTCCGCCTCGCAAAATGATCCGTCCACGCAAAATGTTTCGCTGGACTTTTACCAACTACCTGCTTTGTTTTTGCCTCTTTACAATGCATCAGTTCAGCATCAGTACGGCGTACTCTAAAAACATTGTTAGACCTTATTTAGAGGTGCTTCAGGCACCCTAAAATCATCTTAATCCCCCTAAAAAAACTCAATTTAGCTTCCAATGTTGCTCTGTCTTTGTTCATAAATATTTTTGCGATTCAAACTTTAGTAAATTTCTCTTCGCAGGTCAGAAAGAACTCAGAGATTATGCTGTTTAGGGACGTGGAGGACATTTTAAAATACATTTTTCCTGTAACATCACCAATACACAATACACATAGTGGTCAGTTTTAAGGAATTTGATTAATTCAATGCTTGCTGTGAAAGTTCAAATCATTGATGGTGTGTGCATGAGTCAGTTTATAGAGCCAAAAATGACAAAACTGGGACCATTCTGCTCCATGAGGGGTCCATTTGTATCCTGCACGCCAACGGTTGGTATTAATATTCATAAAACACCAATAAACATATTAGGAATGTTGATTCTTGTATGTATGAAGGATGCAGAGGGACAAAATTCCTGAAAATTGCTCTGAACTCTGTGAAAGTTCATCTTAAAATGATCAGAGGAAAAAAGATTTGGGCTCAAAAAGGAGCTACAGACCACACAGGGGTTAAATATGGACGTTTGTGATCTCAGTGTCCATTTTATAATCAGAACGTTATCAAAAGTTTCCATACTTTAACAAATCTGCTGTAGTTTAGTGTTAACAGGTACTTTTTAAAGCTGTACATAGTTATTTCTGCCTCAATGATCCATCAGTTAAGTTGCTTAAAAAAGAAAAAAAAAGAATGATGAAAAATAAAATAATGAATTAATATATTCTATCAAAGACAGACCATTGATTAACCCTTGATTTAAAATATTTCATCACTGACTGACACATAGCAGTCAATAATATATATATATATATGTACTGCATGTTTCTTTTTGCTCCTTTGGTGGATTGAAAGTTTTCTTGCCTAATTAAACTGGTGCTTAAATGTTTGCTTCAGTTTGTGCAGAGTTTTGTGTTTTTTAAAGCTGGCTTACACAGAAAACAACAAACAACAGTCATGTCTGCAGATATTCATGTGGGAAAAAAATGCAATTCAAAGAAAATAATCTATCAGTCCAACTATTAGGGGATTAAATAGTGATTTAGAATTGTTTATCTCTGGATCAACATCAGTATAGATTTTCTTATTTCTGTTTCTATTTTTATTTTATTTTAGCAGTTGGAGTCTCTTAAGGTTTGACTTCCTCTTCTTTCCCTTTGGGTCTGTTTGTGACAGCATACAGTTTTTCCCTCCCCAGATGCAACATCTCCTCTGTGTTTGATGCTAAATGAGATACTCTGAGTCTGAACGGTGCATTTTGTTTTCTTTAGACCGGACAGCTGGATGAGACGGGGTCTGGACAAGCGGGCGGGGGTCGTGTAAACACTTGGTCTGACCATCTCTATAAAACACTCAGGGAAAAACAACACTGGTCCATTCAGATCTCTATATAGCATGGTTAGTTGGGCCAAAGATGGATGATCTGAGCTGGTTATGATGGTAAAGTTGGTTTATTTCTTGAAAAAAAGAAAAGAAAAGAGAACTCTGAGACAGAAAATCTCAGTTTTACAAATAAAAGAGTACTTGAATTTTCAGACAAAGTGGACGGATTTAATAATGATTTTCAGAAGCATTTTAATAGATATCCTGCTGTTCAAGTTGCTGATATAAATCAGATGATAATACACCTTTTATTTAGTGATATTTAGAATTCTCAGTATTTACTGTCATTTCCAGCCCAATTATGCCAAAAAGAGACATATTTCAGATCTTAAATAATTAGTTTAAAAGACTTCAAATCAATAAACAATAAAGAGACAGATATGTTACCACCCCACCAGTGTAATCTTCCTTGAGACTGGACTAGTGTTTTTGATTTGTGGACTAATCAAATAGAAATAGCTTTTCTATTCTTTCAGTGTCACAGAGGAGGATGCCGACAAGGGAGCCTGGGACAAATAAATATTTATTAAAAAAAGATAACAAAGAGCAGTCAGGCCAAAAACTGAAGGGAAAACATTCTGATTAAATAATAAAAGAGGAAATAGTAAATACTAAAATGTGTTCAGTATTCTTTGCAAGAGGAGGGAAAATGTGTTTTTACATCGTGGAAGACTACAAAAAAAGTTTTCCCCTTCAGAAAAAAAAGCTCAAATGCTAACAACAACAACAACAACAACAACAACAACAACAACAACAATAATAATAATAATAATAATAATAATAATAATAATAATAATAATAA